GTCTGCCTTGCAATGATTTTACACAATTCTATGATATAATGCACTAGAACACTAACCATGAATCCCAGGTAAAATAAAAGACTAATGACTGAATATCAAATAATAATCATTCACAGCAAAACAGCAGTGAAAGTTATAATTAATTTACACTAACTTATATAACAGAATATTAACCTTGATATGGAATTTTGACAGAAATCTTAGAGAATCTCTAAGGCCAGGCAGTGATCAGAAAAGGGAGAAAAACAGCTTTTCCACCTACCTCTGCTCTGTCTTCATAATGGACAGCCACAGCCTGAGCCCTTGCTCTGGTGTTGACTTGTAGCTACCAGGGATAGCAGCAGTTCAAGGTGGCCCTGACTCTTTCCGCACCACAAAAGGTGCTCATTTTTGTGGCTGGTCCTTGGGGCCTTGCAGGAGCATGCTGGTAGGAGGGCAGCCCTGCACGCACTGCACAAACTACCATTGGTTAGAAAACACAAAATTCTCTTTTTCAAACCCTGCTGAAAATATAAATATACATATATATTCTTCCTTCTAGCATTTTAAAAACGCTTCCTCAGTGCTGTGATGGCTGGGGGCTGATGCTCATTCTTACTTATTTTCTGCAGCTGACTGTGAAACAAGACGTTAGTAATTGCAAAAGTACTTCCATAATGCTTCTTTCTGCACTTGCGGCAGGCTATATAAAAACCTTGGGCAAACGAGAAATTCCTGTTGACAGGGAAGGAAATTATAATGCTGTGCTCTGTCTGTTCTTGTGAGTTGCAGCACACCTGTCCTTCTTGCAGGGATGCCGCACCTGCCATGGCAGCTTGTGAATCCCACAGGCTTTCATCTGTTCACAAGCCTTTCTGAGGAAGGGGGGGGGCTTTTGCCTTTGCTATTGTTAAACAGAGGCTCAGTGAGAAAGTCTAAGGTCACACAGGGTGCTTGTAGTGGACAAAGGCAGTGACCCTAAATTTTGTTTATGCACAGCGCTTTCCATCACACCACATTTCTGTTCTGATTATCAAGCTTAAAAACAGGGTTATATCAACAACGAAGAAAAACGTTGTTGTATAAGTTGCCCTCTCTGGCATGCAGACCATGAGAAACCTGTCATTTTCTTCTAAGTGTATGCTCTTTCATATGGGCATAGTTATCTGTGCAAAATGAATTAGTATGCAGACACACATTCATGCAAACATATACACATTTTACACACATGCACAAATAATCCACGTGTTACATTCTAGAGTAAGAAAAAGCAATCTTGTCAATTACATTTCTGATCAGATTTGGACTGTACTCCTGAAGACAGGAATGAGAGAAGACAATGCCACCCCTCAGGTGAGCACCGCACTGCTGAATCACCTCCTGCTGGCTGCATTGGGGTTAGTGCGTGTTGTCATGCATTTAACAGCCTTGTTACTCTCTGGTTTGTCTTGCACAAACTTGGATCTGGAAGTGAGATTAACATGATACAAGCTGCTTAATCAATTAATTAATATTAATCATCATGTCTCTGAAGCAGAGGTCTGCTTGCAGCATGACATTCCTGAATCAATCATGGCCATCTGACACTTTGCCATTACTGCCCTGATCCAATGTTTGCTGGGTTGCATAGTTTAAGCTCTTCTTCACTGGAGACTCTGCACTCTGTACAGGACTGAACCTCTCCTGTCCGAGTCTTTTCTTCTTTGTGTCTTTCAAAAAATAAAACAAAACAACAACAACAACAAAACCTACATAGCTTCCAGTCAAAACCACAGATAGGAAGATAGGAAGTCAAAGTAAAAAAATACATTTTATGGAAAACTGCAACAATGTTTTGTAGGATTTTTTTTTTCCTGTTTCAAAAGTGTGGGAAACAAGAAAATGGTATCGGTCTGAACAGAAATATGGGTAACGTGACAAATATTTCACAGTTGTGTGCTGTTTTGAAGGTGGTAAACACCTTTCACAATAGGAAAAAAAAAAAGAGAGAGAGAGAGAGAAAGGAAAAGGAAAAGAAAAAAGAAAAGGAAAAGGAAAAGGGAAAGGGAAAGAGAAAGGGAAAGGGAAAGGGAAAGGGAAAGGGAAAGGGAAAGGGAAAGGGAAAGGGAAAGGGAAAGGGAAAGGGAAAGGGAAAGGGAAAGGGAAAGGGAAAGGAAAAGGAAAAGGAAAAAGGAAAAGAAAAAGAAGGAAAGCACTAATGCTGAACACAATAAGAGGCAAGTGAGCACCTGGAAATAGGACTACGGTGCTCAGTGCAGGGAAAAGAAGCCCTCACTGTTTGCTGCATCCCTAAGTCTAGTTTCACTGTGTTTCAGTCACTAAAGAAGTCACTGCCCCCTTGGTAACTGATGACAGATGTTGTGTAGCTGTAGAATAGCACAACAACAAATCATTGATTCCCCCGAGTGGCCAAGCAGCGATGACTGGAAAAGAGCCTCTGCAGCATGTTGCTGCAGGGTAGCCCTGCTCGCAGTGGCAACCCTTCCAGCTCATGCTCCTGAGAGCAAATGTGGCACTAATGGTGCAGGAGCACAGAAAACTTCCTCACAGACTGCACCACTCCCTCCTGGGAGTACTTCTCCTTTCTAAGCCATGCATTAGTTTCACATTTGTGCTGCAATGTGCTGTGGGTGGCTGTCTCTTGCAGTGAGACCTGTTGCCATGTGTGCTCAGGACCAGGCTGCAGTACAGGAGTGCAAAGACTTGTTCTGCCATGAAACTGCTTAGGGCAGAAGTCCAGTATGAGTTAATTCCAGCTTATCTGCAAAACATTACAGAAGTAACAGAGCCCTGAGCACATCACAGAACCACAAATCCACATTTTCTATCCAGAATAACATGCTGCCCCTCTGAGCCAGGCTGCAGGAGACCAGCAGCCCAGCTGCCCAAGCTGCCACCGTGATTCCCTCCAAGCAGTATCCATCCAGAAAGCTGTATATAGATATTCAGATGCCCTTTGCTGCACAGCACAGGCTGCCCCAAGCCTCCCACGTGCATGTGACATGAGCTCCACTTGCAAATACACAGCAACTGCAGCAATGTGGTGGCTAGCACAGGCACTGGGTTTCTGATATGAGGTAGGAAGGAACTTATGTTCTGTACTCATCAGTGCTGGCACATCTGGGACACAGATAGCCCCAGAGCTGCAAAAAGAAAGCTGTTTCAATTAGCTGCAGGGTAGAAGAGCAGTAAAATCTGAGCAAAGTACTCTGCTTGAGGAAATGCATTTGTTTCATCCTGCACTACTTGAGATTACTTGGCCCAGGACAGCTGCACCCTGCCCAGGCTTGTTCTGCAGAAACCTGCCTGGCTGCCCCAGCCACCTCCCTGGCACAAGTGGTCCATCCATTCCTGTGCCTTTCCACATCCCAGGGTGTCCGGGTTACATCCCAATTTCCAGAGCAAGCAGCAGAGAAACCCCCTCGCAGCGGAGCTGTGCCAGACTGTGGGCTTGGGAAGCAAATCTCTCCCTCAGCCTTGTCTCTGCTGGATGGCAGAGCAGGAAGTTCTCCACTGGCTTCATACCTCTGCTGTGATTCAGAGTCTGCAGATGTCGGGTGACAAATCTGCTCTGCTCTGTGCTGGTGAGGCAGTAGGCCAACTGCAGAGCAGCACAGGGGGTGGAGCAATAAGCTCCGTGATTAGCAGATGTGGCAAAAACAATGGCCTCGAGTGAGAAAATAAATGTTCCCTGACAAAAGACCCTTAAAACTGACAATAGTTTTGCACTTTAGAAAACAAACAAACATACTTCTTGAGGGCAAGTGCACATGTCCTATTCCAGGCTCAGGGGAAAATGAAAATTTTCCTCTGCCACTTAAAATTTGGCATAACCAGAGGAAGTGCAGTCACTTTTTATTGCCAGGAACCTGCTTCAAAGCTTGTTGCAATAATAGTTTCCAACTGCCCCTGGTGAGTTTTAGATGAAGCTCAGAAAAACAGTATTTATGCAATACTGGTGCTTTTAGTGAGCTAGTTCCAGGTACCAGCACAAGTAAATGTTCCAAGGGAGAAGGCCTCAGGTAGGTGAAGAAATGCAAAGGAGCAATTTAAGTCAAGACATCCAAGTCCTGATTATCCCCCCTCCTTAGAGAATCAGGTTGGTGGGAAACCCTGAGCAAAGCACCACAGCATGTCTGGGCAAGTTTGGGGTTGTTCTGCCTCCCACTCTCCTCCCCACCACATGCACCCAGAGACCCGAAAAGCTACTGGCTACACCACAGCTCGTCCAGCAAATCCTAACCAGAGGTACCAGCCTTTATTGCCCTTGGCTGTCATGATTGCAGCCAAGCCCCTTCTAGATTTTGCCAGATATACTTCACTGCAGTGCTTTTCTTCTCTTTTTGGCTTACAGGGTGCTTAGAAATGTCCTGCAAGTAATGCAGGCCCTTCCAAGGCCCTTCCAAGGCACATATGGGCTTGCTTTACCTCATCTCCTAAATGCTTTGTGAATAGCCCCTGATCAGTAGCCTGGTCTCAGCTGCTCCCAGTTGAAACCCACTAGGAAGCAGAACAGTATGAACTAGTTGTCATGCAGTAGTTTGGTTAAATAATATTATTCAGTGCTTTTTTTTTTCTGATGTCATGATGCTATCTGGAAGTCTCAAGCACCCCTTGTAGTGAGAAATATTCAAAGATGGGAAGAATGATGAACTCTGAGGTATTTAAGCTGTAAGATCTACACAGTCCTTTCCAGTGCTCAAAAATGGCTCTGCACATCAGCTGCAAGATGATACTGGGTTTTGCTTGTCCATTTGGCCTCAGCTCCTATCTCCATCTCTTTAGGATGCCCCAATCAGTGCGCAGGCTTTGATTTTTGCTGCCTCTTCTCTCGGGAACTCCCTCCTCCTCCCTTTGGGGCTGTGACTCATTTCCTTGTACTGCTCATCTCATCCTGTCTGCTGCCTGAACTTATGGTTTGCTGTTCCCCTCCACAGCAGCAAAACTTGGTAGAAAAACAAGTGAAGCTATCACGTTGTAGGAAAATTTCTTTTTTTTTTTTTTTTTTTTTTCCTCAGCACGTCATCAGCCCTCTGTAAGTGCCTCAGTGAAGCTTCATAAATAGATTAGTAAACAAGGAAAAATTGGGAAAAAATCCTGTTATATCCATACAGTCCCGTTTAATGTTACCGTAGTGCGAGCATGCAAAGAGGCACCAGCGACAGTCACTCTAAAAGAAAAGTAGCCTTAAACTTCAATCTCCTGAAATTAATTAGTATAAATTAAAACGAAGTGAAGGCGAAAGGTCGCTGGGGTTGCACTGCCACCTGCTGGGGACGGCATGGGGACGGCATGGCGAGAGGCACTTTTCCTAGAAAATAGCACGGAAATGGGTGCGTGCATTTTCCTGCTCCGTGCGAAGCTGTTCGCTGCACGTGTGTCGTACAGCAGAAATTCCGTCTTTATCCTTTCCAAGGTATGTGATTCTTTCTTGCCAAGGAAGCCGATCCTTTCTGTGTTTGACAGCGATAAAATTTTAATTATTGTACCTGCTCTTCTTAAATGAGTTTGCACCCGTCACTCAGATACAGTGTGTGTCATTATTTATATCAATTTTAAGACAAAAGGCAATGAAAAATGAATGGTAGGAATCTTAAAATTATGCTCTGTTGTCTTCATTTGGCATAACTAAACACTGGCATCTGGCTTCCTACCACTATAGGGGAAAATAAGGATTTGAGGGTGTCTTTTTTTTTTTTTTTTTTTTTTTTCCCCATCTATTTGAACAGCCTGCTCATCAAGTGCCAAAAAGTTTTTGTGCATCTCTGAAAAGTTATGAGATCTTGCTATATGTGCTATATGCAAAGATGTGCAGTCCTGGATACTGAGGCTGAAAGTAGAGGGAATTACATGATTTTATGCTTAAGGCACAGTACAGTAGTATTGTGAAAAGGAACAGCAGATGAAGACAGACTGGAAAGGCAGTGTGCAGGCCAATCTCAAGTCATGAGGAGAGAGACACGTCTGGAAACTACCTGTCCTAAAGATCTGCAGTCCTTGGAACCAAGAAACAACAATCTGACTCTGACAAATGCATCCCAATTACACACAGTCTTCAATTAATTTTTAATAGACAAAACATAGCAATGTAACAATGATGATTCATGCCACAGATGCGATCAGAAGTTAAACTGAAATATGAGCTTCCACGTTGTCCTTCAATGTGTGTGCTTTTAGAAAAATACTTCAAAAAAGTCTCTTGTGCATTTGTGAATTTTTGTGCTGCCTGGGAGAAATATAACTTTTCAAATAGAAAACAGGGCACTGTGTACCTCATTTCTTTAGAAATAGTCCAGATGAACTGATCAGACTTGCAGGGTGCCTCAGAAATAAAAAAATAAATAAATAAAATCTGATCAACAACCAGAGGAGTAGTTTCCAAGGTTGAAAACTCCTTTGAGAGGATGTTTTGTGCTAGCATATTTATCTGCAGGGCTCTAACTTCAGCACTGATTGCACTTGAAATCTGATGCAGAGAGAGGCACTCTCCCAGTATACAAAAAAAGACCATACGACAATAACTGAAATACCAGTAATGCACAGCCCATTTAATATTTTAAAATGTATTTAGTATTATTTATAAACAGGACACAAACTGGCAAGAGAGAGATTCTGGCACAATCTGTTCATTCAACCCATATATTCTCCTGAAGTGCTGAAACATGTGCCATCTGATGAGGTCATGGTTGTTTTTACTCTTTTTCTTTGTCTCTTCTCTTCTCTTCTCTTCTCTTCTCTTCTCTTCTCTTCTCTTCTCTTCTCTTCTCTTCTCTTCTCTTCTCTTCTCTTCTCTTCTCTTCTCTTCTCTTCTCTTCTCTTCTCTTCTCTTCTCTTCTCTTCATCCTCTCTCCCTTGAATAGGTTAGGAAAGATGCCATGATATATGGACAGATATCATTGCATAAGGTATCTTCTGACTTGTGCAATCAGTTGACGGGCTGATCCCCTCTTTCTCCTCATTGGGATTAGTTCAGTACCCCAAACATGACTGGATTATAAGAGTTAATTGGGCCTCAATTCCAATTACTTAAACCTTTAATGCAAAAAGTCCCAATGGCCTTGGTCCTCCTCAGGACACCACTGGGCCTACAAGTGCTGGTGGGGCTGTAGCAGCACCCCAGAACCCACGTGTCACCATGCCACCAGTCAACGAGGCCCAGTCACTATAGCTCAGGGCAGAAAAAAGGGGGCAGGCTCCCGTGCCCCCTGCCAGCCTGCTGGCCATGGCCATGGGATGGGCAGGCTTGGGGCAAGCCCCAGGACATCAGATGGCAAGTCTTGGAGGATCCCATGCAAAGGGCACAAGAGACCCAAACCTCTCCCTGATGCCTCCTCTGATTCTTGGATTCTCTGATTGCGTAGTACTTTTCTCTCTGGACTGTGTTTCAGAGCAGGGAATTTGTTATTTTCCACCTAACCTGCCATTTTTACCTTCCTGAATGTAAATTTCTGGTCTGCCCTAGAGAGAGAGCCCAGACTGCAGGGTCAAGGACAATGTGGGTGTATCTCTATTGACACTCAACCCTTTAGGGCTGCTACTGATTGACAAGGGAGGACTGATGTCTGAGGAGTTCCTGGTGAACTACAACTGAGTTGGGGAAAAGGCTGCTCCACCAAATTTCTCTCCAGCTGTTCTCTCTCTAGAAGAAAGTTTTGACTCCTAGTCAGACTCAGATTCCTTACTGTGCTGTTCTTAGAATGCACTGTGATACATCCTTTCCCCAGGAGGGATTTCCAGGGGTACCTGCTTGAAGGCAGTACCTCCCTTTTTTTGTGGGAGCTGTCCAGGTGAAGGAACAGTAACCTCCAGGGGCAATTGCAGGAGGAGGGCATACCCACTGCTGTACAGGGAAGTCCAGTAATTAATAATAATAATAATAATAATAATAATAATAATAATAATAATAATAATAATAAATTAGCTGGATTCCTTCAGGTATGATTTGCTGCTCAGCTTGAGTGTTTGTCCAAGTTTACTTAAAGCACTGGAAAACCTCCTCTGAATATGCTGTCCTTTCTGTCTGCATGTCTTGAGGTCTTTTGGTGTTACATTCCCCAGGGAATCCAATGTACTGCACTTGCAGTGCAACAAGCAGAGTTCCTTTGTAGTTCTTTATCGACAGACTGGGGGAAAACCGGCCAGGATCTTCCTTCCCCAGGTAGGATTTTCAGGGATAAACTGCATAAACTGCAATGAAGGCATTGTCAAAAATTTTTTAGAAGCAAACAAGATTGCATGCGGCTATATTATTTGCCATCTAATGCAAGCCAAAGAAACAAAACAAAACAAAACAGAACAAACAAACAAACAACAGAAAAACAAGATGCCACACAAAGCCTTTGTAGTTTGTTGAGATGTTCTGTCAACAGCTGCAGACTGCTGCAGTCCTAACCTTCCTCAGCCTGACTGTTACAGGAAATGTGACAGAGACTGCATACATGACATAAGTACAAGTTCATATCAGAAAAAAAAGCCTGTAGAAAAATGTCTGCTTGATTTGGCAGAAAAAATCTTCTTGTCCTAGCTTACTGTCAGATCTCTATGCTTCACCCACCTTTTGCATTTTTGGGACTTTTTCTGTTTTTTGGTACGCAGGGAAACATCTACCCTGGGTTAATTATTGCACTGGCATCGATGCTGTGAAGTCAGCAGGTCTAGAGGAAGAGAAGTGTGGGGAAGCACAGAATGAGAGACAGAGGTGCATCAATTCCCAGCAACTCTGGCCCCAGGGGAACAGGCATCCAGGGCAGGAGAGGGCCAGTTGTGGCAAAGCTGTCTTCATCCTGGGCAGTGCTCCCTGTGTATTGCTGAGGATCTCTGTGATTTCAGCCCAAAGACCTTCCTACAGGTTTCACTTGTAGATTGGCATCCGACTGGACAGCGTGCCTTGCAGCCTGCAGAAACTGTGTGCTTGTGTGAGAAATGCGAGTTTTGTGTTGTTTCCCATTCTCCCTTCCAATGCAGCAATGTGTCCATCACCTGACCTTTCTGTACTCAGCATTAATTTCCATTAAAATGAAAATTAAACATACATTAAGGAAAAACTTGAGTGTGAAATTAATCCACATAGACTGTAATTTGACACATTGTAAAATTTTTCAGGCAAGACCAGGAAGACAGCATGTGATTAATCTGGTATGCAAATTTAAGCCTGTTAGCAATTCATGCTATCAAATATGAATAAGACAGTGACAAAGCTAAGGTTTATTCCTGGGTGATATGAAGTAATCCATCTCAGTCCTTGTGAGATATTCCGGGAGACAGCGGCCCCAGCAAACAAAAGCTTTGAGAGGGGTTTTCAGAGGCAAACTAAAAGTTTGCAAGGAGACAATTTAAAAGTGACATGGCTGCTGGGCAAGTCAGTGCATCCTGTGCCTCTCACTCATGAAGGAAGAGAAATAGGGCAAGAAAATATGTAGCTGTGCACTTATTAGGGATCTTTGCTGCCAGCCTGAAGGGAGGTGGATGCTCTCAGAGAACCAAGGTCCAGTTAATTTCTGGTTAGAGAAAAAAAGAAAAAGAAGAGAGGAAATGGATAAATAGATTAAAGACCTCATGGATTTTTTTCACTGCATTTTCTTTCTTCTGACAAAAGATTTCCTGAAGTTTTGCCTCTTTTGTTTTTTCTTATGGACAGATGTTAGTTTTGAAATCTTTTGCACAAACACTTGAATCACCACTGCTGCCACTGACACTCTGGCATAAAATATGGGTAATCTTGGGACCTTCATGCTCCTCCAAATTCTGTCACTTGCCAGTAGCACAGCTCTACCATTGCTGCACTCAGTCAGGGGTTGAAATTCCTGCCAGAAGTCCTGGGTCAATTTGTGCTGCATCTCAGGGGCGCAGGGCACTCCCACTTCAGCCCTGTAGCAAAAAGGGCTCAATGTGAGAAATTGGATTGTACCAGAAAGGGTCCAACAGTGAAATACTGCATGATTTTCAGTCCAGGTAACCCAGAGTGATTTTACCTTTTTTTTTTTTTTTTTTTTTTTTTTTTTTTTTTTTTTTTTTTTATGCAGAGTGATCCTCTTTCAGAGTAAGAAATGTGGCATTTTTCATTTGCTGTTTGTTGGCACCAGTGGTGTTTTGCATTCAGCCCCAGTCGCACACACTAGATTTCCCCATCCTATACTGAAAGACTCTAGATGAGTGCAATGGTGGTTTTTGTGGCCTTCAAACCGGTTATAAAAATCAGTATTAAAAAAGAAAGCAAGCATGACAATGTCAAACATATCTGTTGCTGAAGAGCCAGCAGCAAACATGGCTTGGAAATCCAACTTAGGGAAGAAAGAGGCTCTTTGCTGCCTTACTGGGAGAGACAGAGGGGCTGCATTTGTAACATTAGATTCTGTAATGTTTACTGTGAAAAAACTCTGGTCTCTCCTTGGCACTGTAACCTTTCTTCCTCTATTT